TAAGCGGGGCTGGATATCAATCAACAGCCCCAGGCCTGGCGGAACAGCCAGGTCTTGACGGCTTTACGGAAGGCCGGGAGAGTGGTAAGGGTCCGGATCTCTGCGGGTAAATCGTTTCACAGGACCGGCACAGCAACAGAGAAGGCCCTCCCCCGGGAAGCCGCCAGCCGGCATTGTCCGGATGACGGCACCCGGAGGAGGCCCAACCTGTGCGATCTTGTTGGTTGTTGGGAGGTAAGCGGCAGGAGGCGGTCTCAGGTAGCCAGGTCCTAAACCATGTAGGGCTTTAAAAGTAACGACTAGCACCTTAGTTATATGCCAAGAGAATTTGTCCTTGTATTTTTTAAGCACAGTCTTTTTTATGTCAACTATGTAACTTTATGGAAAAAACATTTAAACACATCATGTAATAATAGGGCATATGGAAGAATGCTGTTTATAGAGAAGACAGCATACTCGACACCTATGCTGTCGTGTTTTTTTTACTTCTTGTGGTATAACCTTTTAACAGTTATCCTGCGGTAGGTCAGGCAAAAAATCTGAAAAAGGTTGTCCAAAATATTTCTAATTGCTTGAATACTTGGAATTCTACTGCCCTAGGCAGCTAATGTATCTTTAGTTAGAATGGCTGTCATTGTCTATCAATATATATTACACGCTAGCCTTCCATAATCTACTACCCTCCAGATGAGTTAAAGTTCTGTCGTAATGTCTTGGCTGCTTAGAAATCATGAGTTGAAATTGCAACATATTTGGTTGGCCCAAGTTGCAAGGTGTATGCGCCAAAGCAGTGGTGAAATTCGTTTTTTTTTTAAACTACCGGTTCTGTGGGCATGGCAGCGAGAAGTGGTATTTGCTGGTCCTCTGAACTGCTCAAAATTTTTGCTACCGATTTTCCAGAACCTGCTGAATTTCACCCCTGTGCCAAAGGCATTTTTCCAGTTATGGATCCAGGTGGTTCATAATCTGAAAAAAAAAATGTAGTGTTGAAACTATATCTCTTGGCTGCCTGAATAGAGACTGCTCGGGAACAATAAATATCAATCTTTTTAGATGATTTTTAATAATCAGATGCAACATGCTATTTTAACACACATTATGTTGTATTCAATTGGTTCTTTAAATTTTAATTGTGGTCTTCCATCAATTTTTTCCTCTCATTCCTTTTGTTTCAGCATAAAATCTTAAATTATACTAACATCATCCACTAGATTATGATTTTCACTATGAATCCTTTTTGGTACAACCCTGTTAGGTACACGGCATGAACCAAGAAGTTTCTATAAATGGGATTACTCCCAACTGGAACCAGAACGGTCAAGGAGAGAAGATCTGATGTCAAGAAAGAAAAAAATAGGTACTGGTAAAATCCTGATAACATTTATGTTTTCTTTCTTATGTAAAGGAAAATGGTCATTGATTTAAATGAAGTAGTTTCTCATTCTGAACTATTATAAAGTATTACATGACATCAGTAACATTTAAACAATATGCCAGTTCCCCCTTCTATTATAGTTCAACCATGCTAAGGAGTCAAAATGAAATCAAGGTTTGTATAGTTGTCATGGATTTGTGCTAAATATATGATTTGCTTGCAGAAGACTGCAATTTTAGATATTCCAATTAATAGTATTTCAATACAGAACATAAGAAATATTGACTCTGCTTGCCAGATTATAATGCTGGCTAGATCAATGGCCTAAAGCAGTACAAATTAGACCTACCAGATTTTATTTTGAGTTTTCAAAATTAAAGTTTTAGTAAAAACATTAATAGTACATACATCTTAAAGCAAAGTCAACTATAGTAAATAGATCTAAAATGATGCATAATCTGTCTGAGATTTTGTAGAAGATGAGCATCTGGATGTAAATACCTAGTATTGTGAGTCCTCTTGCTACTTTTTAACCCACTCTATCATACTAACTGTAATATAAATGGCAAGTTAAAACAACCCTGATCATAATATGCCTTAGAGATGAAGAGCAGTCTATAGGTTATATGCATATGTATAGTGGCTCTCTTGAAAATAGATTGTGATACAATGGAGAGAGCCTGCACTGGATTCAAGGCAGGGAGAATGTACCAGCCTTTATTGATTAAATTTCACATTTCTTTCATTTCTATAGGCATGGGTATATCGTTTGAGAGCTACAAGCAATACAGTTCTATAGGAAAGACTCGTTTGCAGAAGGTAAAATATGAATTGGAGTTGGAGATAAAGCCTTTTTTTTTTCATTTGGGAAGTGAAAAAGAAAAGAATTTACCAAATGCTAAAGCTGGATTTAATGCCCCTTGTTAACTCTTTGTGGAGTTCTGCAAACTGACTGAATAGTCAATCTTGCCTGCCTGCCTGCCTGCCTGCTGCCAGTAGCTCACACACACCTCACACCTTCCTGCTCATTTGTAATTGTAGGAAGTTAGCACCCAGCCCTCTCCCAGAAAAATGAAACATCCTGGGAAATATTGAAAAGGCAGAACATATGTCCCTGGATCAGAAATGGAGAAACATGTTTTTAGGCAGGAAACAGACTCACTCTTAATAGCCTTCACTTTCCTTAATGGGCCATTGAAATGCCTGAGCCAGTCTATTCTACATAACAAAGAGTTTCCCCAATTCAGCTCTAGGTTGATGGGATTGTGGCATGATAGTATTAGCTTTTATCCATCTCTCCAGAGGGCATTTGGGAAGAAACAATGCTCAACCAAACTCTGGACTGAAGACAGCCTACAGCCGTGATGGCGAACCTATGGCACGTGTGCCACAAGTAGTATGTGGAACCATTTGTTAGGGCACGCAAGGCTTTGGCCTGTCAGCTGGCCAGTGCACATGCGTGCACTGGCCAGCTGACTTCAGCCTTCTTTTGAGGCTGTTTTCACCCTATGGAGGCTTTAGGGAAGCCGCCTGAAGCCTCCGGAGCAGGAAAAACCAGTCCTATGGGCAAACTGGAAATTTGGGGATGGACTTCCAGTTTGCTCATAGGACGATTTTTCGCCCTCCAGAGCCTTCAGGAGGTTTCCCTGAAGCCTCCAGAGGGCGAAAAATGGACCTACAGACAAACTGGAAGTCACTTCTGGTTTGCTCGTAGGGCTGGTTTTTGCCCTCCGGAGGCTTCAGGGAAGCCTCCTGAAGGCCCTTGAAGGCTCAGGAGGTCAAAAATCGGCCCTGGGGACAAACCAGAAATTACCATTCCCAAACTTCTGGGTTTCCCAAGGTCTGTTTTTTGACTTCAGGTTTGTCCGTAGATCCATTTTTCACTCTCCCAAGGCTTCAGGGAAGCCTCCGGAAGGCTCCTGAGGTCGAAAAGTGGCCCTATGGGGAACCAGGAAGTCACCATTCCTGAACTTCGGGGTTCCCCATAGGTCCGTTTTTCACCCTCCGGAGAATTCAAGGAAGCTCCTGAAGCCTCCGGAGGGCCTCGTGGGGGGCGGGGGAGACTGTTTTTATCGTCCCCAGGCTCCTAAAAAGCCTCTGGAGCTTGGGGAGGGTGAAAAAAAATTCCAAAAGCGTGGGGTGTGTGTTGCTGGTCGCGCACGCATGCGCAGGGGGGGTTTCACGCACATTGCATTATGGGTGTGGCTTTCCCGCACATGATCCCCCTGCACTCCCCCCGCTTTTGGCATGGGAGCCAAAAAAGGTTAGCCATCACTGGCCTACAGAGTTGCCCCTGCATGGCCCCATGGGAGTCTAACAACCAATCAGAATACATTTCTTACACAGGAACAGAAAACAGAGAGATGGGGCCAAACTGAGTATAAAAAACCCAGCAAGCCCCTTCTTTACTCTCTTCTTCTTCACCCAACATCGGAAGCAGGTGATCACATATTCTGTTCAGGACCTCAAACCATATGATCCTGTCCACCATTAAACCATCTTTCCAAGCAGCCTCCATGTCTCCAGTGTTTGTTTCCCCACTTGGAGCTGAACCCAGAAGGACATTTCTTCCAACATAATTAACCAGAGGAAGGGGGGGGGGAGAAAATCACATAGCCATGCAGTCAGCACAGCCTTGAATAAACAATAGAAAATTGACAGGATTAGGCCAGGAAAGGAGTTTTAAAATGTTAATACAGAGCAGGAGTTTCTTGTCAGAGTTCTTATGCCTTTTTAAATACATGTTCTAATTAGCAGAATTGATTTTATTAATTTGGAATAGAGTCGCAATGCTGTTTCTATGTTTATGTATTTTGATCCTACATTTTCAGCATTTCAGAGTTGGCTTACAGTATTAGACTGTAAAGATTTCAACTTATCTTGTAACTGTGTTGCTTGTGTGTGATGGAGTACCCAAAACTTCTGAAAGCAAGCTATTCCATTGATTGATTGGTCTCACCCTTAGGAAACTTCTCCTTAATCCTAGGTCAGGGATCAGCAATCTGTGGTTCTGGAGCTGCATGTGGCTCTTTCATTCCTCTGCTACAGCTCCCTATCGCCAGTCAGCGCCACAATTTTGAGAAGAGTTTCCTTTCAAAATTGGGGAAGCAGGGTGCGCCAGAAGGAGACTCTAAGGCAAGGGATGGGTTTTCTGGTCAGCTCCACAATTGATAGGGCTTTTGGTTAGGACAGGTAGAGGAAAAAGGATGCTGCACTATGGTGGGGGAAAGGGACTTCCAGTCGGCTCCAGATATGAACAGGGGGCTTTCGGTTAGGACCTTTGTGGCTCTTTGAGTGTTTAAGGCTGCCGACCCCTGTCCTAGGTTGCTTCTCTCTTTGGGTAGTTTCTATCCATTGTTTCTTGTCCTGCCTTCTGATGTTTTGGAAAATGGATTGACCCCCTCATTTTTGTAGGAGCCCTTCCTGACAGTTAGAACTATTAATTAATGGAACAACGTGACTCCAGAAGTTGTAAATACTTCAACACTGAAAGTTTTAAAGAAGAAATTGGATAACCATTTTGTCTGAAGTGTGTGTAGGGTTTCCTGTGGCGGTTTGGAATAGAAGACCTCCAAGGTGCCTTCCAACTCTGCTATTCTATTTCTATTCTATTCTATTCTATTCTATTCTATTCTATTCTATTCTAAATAACGGAACAGTGCTATTTTATTGTGCTATTTATTGTGAGTTGGACTAAGGAGAAATTGCTACGGGTGAGACCAATCAAGTTGGCTACCTCCACCCAGTCACATAACAACCCGGCTACGCCTTCCCAACCGATCATTAGGGCAAAGACCAGTTGTTAAATTATTTGAATCCCACCATTGCCATAAGAATATTTTTTTAAAAAAATCAACCAAAACAATGTTTGTAGCAAGCAATCATGCACAATTATTTTGCTTCTTTTCAAAGAGCAGAGGATCTTAGATTGTCAAATATATTTAAACTCTATTTTTCTTTGAAAATTGTGCCAACCCATAAATAGATTGTAATGCATTTCCAATTCTCTTTGCTAAAGTCTGATATTCTAATATGAACTGATATTTATGTTTTTTATATCTTTCTTTTTCTGATATTGAAATAGATTCCATCAAGGAAAACAATTACCAAATCTACAAAAAAAGGCAAAAAAACTGTACCTGGGAAAAAAGATCAAAAGCAGCCTTCCAAAAAAGTTACCAAGTTGGAAAGTGAAGGTAACATCTTCAGAATTTTCTATAATACCAGCTTTAATACCAGCGTGACTTTGTTTTCAGACTAAGTAAGCAATAATAATGTAGAATGCTCTCTCCAATTGAATGGATATCATCATCATCATCTCTCCAATTATAAAAAGTGTCTTATTTTCATATATCATGCAACCATATTCCTATGACAGAAATATACAAATATGCTTCATTTCGTTAGTTTGCAGAGAATTCACAAGAGAATAATCTTGTATTGCTAATATCTATCACAAAGCTTGTCTAGCACATGTCTAGATGATAAAGTACTGCATTTTCCCTTAAGAATTGTATGGAAGCACAGAAGTTCTGCACTGGTTTGTATTTGTATTTATTCGTTTGTCAAACATATACAAGATAGCAGGTATAAATATAAACATGGACATGAATGAAAGAAATGAATACAAATAAATGGAGACAATAAGATAGGGACAATAGGCACGATGGTGCGCTTATGCACGTCTGCTTTACGGACCTCTTAGGAATGGAGTGAGGTCCACAGTTTAAGGTTGAAGCTGTGGGGGGGTTAGAGGATGTAACAATGGAGTCAGGTAGAGCATTCCAGGTGTTGACCACTCTGTTGCAGAAGTCATATTTTCTGCAATCGAGTTTGGAACAGTTTACTTTGAGTTTGTATCGATTGTTTGCTCGTGTATTATTGAGATTGAAGCTGAATTTACTTCTGTACCATTAGCATGGTTGAAGATGAGTGATTTACAGATGAACACTCTGTGAAGCTACAATTGTTTTACAATTGTTTTAAAAATGCTCTTTGTTTCTCCATTGATTACAAGCATTTTTGTTCCTTCTGTCTTCCTAGCTCTGGAACTTCAGCTAGCTTGATAATTTTGTAACTCCACATCAGTAGCCAGTTTCCTAAAGCTCTTGTCTTGTCTTCTTTTCCCTTTCCCCTTGGTATGGAGGTGATGGTAAGATTTATGTTGTTGCACACCACAATATGTGTGTTTGTTTTCAGTTTGGCAGAACAATCACAGATCACCTTTAAACTACTTCTGATAATTTTGGGAGTGAAAATAATAGCTGGAAGTGGTATATAAGACTAGGTGCTATTGCTATAAGATTTTGAACAGCATTCGCAGAAAGATTCTGTATATTACTATATAAGATATGAATGCAATTAATTACATGTTTTTCTATGGATACTTTAAAAAACAAAACTATAAATACTTGCTAAACCTTAATACAGATAGAAAATTGAATTCATTTTTTAATGATCTGCACATGTAAAATATATGTAATTTATGCTGCCTAGATTTGATGAGATAAGCAGCCATATAAATCTAATACAGGTATTCCTATACATATAACTGCTCATCTACATAAATAAATGATGACCCCCTACACAAATCGGCACTCCATTGTTCTGGAAGAGTTTTCTAATTATAGGCCTGTCTCAAACATTCAATTTTCAAATAAAGCGATTGAGAAAATGATGATTCTACAGCTCCAGCTATATCTGAATGGCATTTATTTTGGGGGCCTTTTGGTTCCAGGATATGGTAATAAATGTAGTGAAAAACTCTGATTGTGATCTGCTAATAAAATATGTATTTGCTCATCCATGAGGTGATCTTTCTTCAATACTTGAATATGAGCAATAACTTATTGGAAAGTAAACTCTATATGTTATTTATTGATTGATTAATGGTTATTTGAATATATAATTCTTAATAAATAAATGATTAATACTTATCAAATGTGTGCTCTTTTTAGAAATAAAGCAAAGTACATCAATTATTGACCAACTTAAAGAGGATAATGAGAAAGCTGCATGGAGCAAACACCAGAACTTACCCAAAAAGAAACTAAAGATAGCTAAACTTCCTCGAGAGGTGACATTATTTATGGATAATAAAAATGCTAAAATAAAGTAATTATGGATGGATCTGGATAAAATAAGAATGTACTACTTACTCTTGTCCAAATTAGACTTTGACTTCATAATTTAATTCTTTTCAATTATTTCAACATATATTTGCTTGATTTATTTTGTAGCAAAATAAATCCGCTCTCTCCCAGGCAATGAAATTAATTTGTCTAAAATGAACTAATGATCCAGAAACATTTTACAAATCTGAGAATTGTTTAACATTATGTTTGGATTGGTTTATATTTAAGTATCAGCCTCCTTGAGATTGTGATGGGTTCAGAGTCAGCCTGACAATAAGCATCACTCCATGTAGAAAGATTGGCTACATTTAGATGAATTATGTAATAGTTAATTAGGATATGTTGAATATTGAATATCAGAAAATTCATATATATATATATATATATATATATATATATATGTATGT